GTTAACATTTGGCGTAGGAATAAGGAAGTCTAGGAATTGCCTCCAAGCCAGAGTCTGTCTCACGCTGCAACCAGTGTGGCGCATGGGGCCCCCACACTTTGAAATTATGCACCAAATTATGTCAGAGGTCATGCTCCCAGCGTATGGAAGAGATAGGGCGGTCCTGTTGATACGTCATTAGAATATCTACTCCCCAATAAAAGTACAAAGGCGAAGTCCTCAAATCACGTTTGCTACAATGCGCACCACTTTATTGTTAATATGCAAATTTCGTTTTCCACTGCCCATGATGTAGTTCTGAGGAGCTCATATATGGATTTCGGTAGGATTATTTTCTTTCTCGTGTTCCTTTTTTATGTTCAAGCAAGGGTACAATATATGGCGTGATTAAATACGTGTGACTTCTAACGCTTCATCAGCATAAATAGCATATTTTTTGTTATTAGCTATTTCTATAGAGGTTGAAGCTATCTATTTTCCATAAATACACGATAAAGCAAAAACTGACATACTTCTCGTTTTGAAGGTATCCCACTCTGAAGGCTGCTTTTCGAGATAGAATTTTTACCTATTCGCTAAATATTGGGAAACCAATCTCATTTGCCTCCCACGAAATACGTCCTATGGCACCAAAAGTGTGCCTCTCTTGCCGCATGTGGTCTGACCGCAGAACCGAATTGGCCTATATAATCTTCAAATTTGGTAGCAGAGCACAAAGATCTGCAGCATAACCGCCGCAGCCTTTCCGAGTATAGTGTTATCTTTCGCCCTTAAGGGAGCTTCGAGGTGCTTCGTTGGCTACGGCGGAAAGCAAATCCGAAACTTGAAGCTGACTGCCTCGATTTTGACTGTTTGTGTGGTGCAAGATATGGAGTTAAACAAACGGTTAAAGTTGTACTTTTGTGACAAACGGAAGAACACAACTAATTGTTGTGAAAGTCTGAGAATGAAGTGGGCCGCATTGCAATACTCCTTTCTCATGATTTGCGCTAAAGTTTTTAACGAGTGAAGGGATGATGTTGATGAAGTATCCAAAAGACAAAATCCAATTAGACCGATAGATACATCTAGACAGTCTTGAAGTGACAAAATTGTGCTAAAAGGGAAAAGATACGAGCCATAACCCCCAACAAACTCCTTTTCATATGTCTGATTTTGAACAGTGTTCCTGCAAATAGTAAGCAAATTCCTCCTTTTCCAAATTAATTTCAAAGCAGGACATAATTCGGTATGAGGAATCTTCAGAGGTGAAATCAGTTAGTTATTTCTAATTGCATTCCAAATCGAACTTTAGCGGACATTATTCTTAGAAATCGACTAGATAGTGATGGTGGACATGGAAGGGAACACTGAGAATAACGAACAAAAAAATGTGCGGCGCCAGTAATTTCTTTAATTACTTGCCTATAAAATGGGATCCTTTAAAGTCTTAAAATGAGCCAGTCTCCATGCCGCATTTGGTGCTTCTCAAGCCCTCTCTAGGTCCACAGTGTATATTCTGTCCTAGTGTTGCTCTTTATTATCTTTAGAGAGCCTTGGGTATGCCACAGTGATAACCTCAGGGGACCAAAATATTGGCACCTAAAAACTCAGGGCATTATGCAACTTGCGCCTGCTAATTTAGTCGCCTGTTCTTCTCATTTTTTGTGTTCTAGCTTCCTTTCGAGGATCACAAGAAAGGCCTCTCACACTTAAAGTTTGGCTTTTTATCAATGTAAACTTTTAAATCATTCCGAAAAAATGAGAATGGTTATAAAGTGACACCTTAAATGCTGGCATCACCGCCAGCATGATGAACGCCTGAGTTAACAACCACACGCATAAGTCATGTTGATACGGTGATGCGAGATCGCAGACACCAGGTAAAATGGCTATATAAAGCACAACGCTGAACAAGACCACGATTAGTGGCGCCTTAACAGCAGACACAAGGTAAGTGGTGCTCCATGGCTGAGTGATTTTATCTAAAGGTACCCCTCTGTTTTCGTGGTGGCCTTCAAGCAAGTTACTGTTACGGTGAGTTTTTAAGCACAGAATCGCTTCATTTTATGACATACATATACAAACGTTAATAATCATTTTCAGAGTTTTTTTTAGTACCTTGGCGATCCTAAATAATGCACTTTTCTTGTCTATGCAGTTAACTTTGCTAGCATGGATAAGCATCTCAAGTATCTGGTAGCGCTACTTGTCGTGGTATTGTTCACCTGTCTCACTGGTGGATTGCAGTTAGAATGCGGTCACCTTTTTGGCACTGGCTGTCAGAGTTGGAGAACGGGTCGAGAGATGACAGGCCTGGTGGCCGCAGCCCTAGTGGCATTTGTGATGGCCTCCATTTTCGCTGCACTTTTTATCCTGAAAAAGAATCGTTGGTCGTCCATATGCGAGTTTATTGCCTTAGCCGCAGGATCTATTTTAATGTTAGCTGCGGTCGCCGTCTACTACAATCGAAGTTCTATCCTGTCGCCCCTTATGGCTGCTATCACCATGACTCTGGCTATCGAGATAGCAATTTTCCTTCTCATCGATTTGGTTTCTTAAAACTGCTTGGTCACCTCATAAAGCCTTTGATTTATGTACAACATGGCACTGTGTTTAAAATAAATACAAACTATCATTTCACCGGCATTCCTCTCCATGGAATGGGAAGGCAACCGGCAACTAGCGCCTCTAGCTATAATCGCGAATATGCTAAATTGAAAAATCCCTTCATAGTCCATTAAAGCTGGAGTTTTCAAACACCACAGTAGGTGGTAACTGTAAATGG